AGCTAGGGTTAGGGTTAGGGTTAGGGTTGGAGTTAGGGTTAGTGTTGGAGCTAGGGTTAGGGTCGGGCTTGGAGCTAGGATTTTTCTGAGTGCAATGAACCAACTCCCGAGTCTCTAGGACGTTCCTAAAAAAATTTGATTTTTTCCCATAGGAATGCATGGGTTAGGGTTAGGGTTAGGGTTGAAGCTAGGGTTAGGGTTAAGGTTAGGGTTGGAGTTAGGGTTAGTGTTGGAGCTAGGGTTAGGGTTGGGCTTGGAGCTAGGATTTTTCTGAGTGCAATGAACCAACTCCCGAGTCTCTAGGACGTTCCTAAAAAAATTTGATTTTTTCCCATAGGAATGCATGGGTTAGGGTTAGGGTTAGGGTTGAAGCTAGGGTTAGGGTTAAGGTTAGGGTTGGAGTTAGGGTTAGTGTTGGAGCTAGGGTTAGGGTTGGGCTTGGAGCTAGGATTTTTCTGAGTGCAATGAACCAACTCCCGAGTCTCTAGGACGTTCCTAAAAAAATTTGATTTTTTCCCATAGGAATGCATGGGTTAGGGTTAGGGTTAGGGTTGGAGCTAGGGTTAGGGTTAGGGTTAGGGTTGGAGTTAGGGTTAGTGTTGGAGCTAGGGTTAGGGTTGGGCTTGGAGCTAGGATTTTTCTGAGTGCAATGAACCAACTCCCGAGTCTCTAGGACGTTCCTAAAAAAATTTGATTTTTTTCCCATAGGAATGCATGGGTTAGGGTTAGGGTTAGGGTTGGAGCTAGGGTTAGGGTTAGGGTTAGGGTTGGAGTTAGGGTTAGTGTTGGAGCTAGGGTTAGGGTTCGGGCTTGGAGCTAGGATTTTTCTGAGTGCAATGAACCAACTCCCGAGTCTCTAGGACGTTCCTAAAAAAATTTGATTTTTTTCCCATAGGAATGCTTGGGTTAGGGTTAGGGTTAGGGTTGGAGCTAGGGTTAGGGTTAGGGTTAGGGTTAGGGTTGGAGTTAGGGTTAGTGTTGGAGCTAGGGTTAAGGTCGGGCTTGGAGCTAGGATTTTTCTGAGTGCAATGAACCAACTCCCGAGTCTCTAGGACGTTCCTAAAAAAATTTGATTTTTTCCCATAGGAATGCATGGGTTAGGGTTAGGGTTAGGGTTGGAGCTAGGGTTAGGGTTAGGGTTAGGGTTGGAGTTAGGGTGAGTGTTGGAGCTAGGGTGAGGGTTGGGCTTGGAGCTAGGATTTTTCTGAGTGCAATGAACCAACTCCCGAGTCTCTAGGACGTTCCTAAAAAAATTTGATTTTTTTCCCATAGGACTGCATGGGTTAGGGTTAGGGTTAGGGTTGGAGCTAGGGTTAGGGTTAGGGTTAGGGTTGGAGTTAGGGTTAGTGTTGGAGCTAGGGTTAGGGTTGGGGTTGGGCTTGGAGCTAGGATTTTTCTGAGTGCAATGAACCAACTCCCGAGTCTCTAGGACGTTCCTAAAAAAATTTGATTTTTTCCCATAGGAATGCATGGGAAAAAAAAATTGAAAAATTTTTTAAGTGCCAACCCAATTTTTCACCTTCCAGAATTGTGTTAGGAGCACGTTTCAGGGCACGGGGAGTCTATAGAACCTAATTCTGGGGGAAGTTTTTTGAAAAGTTTACTTAGGGTTTGGGTTAGGGTTAGGGTTGGAGCTAGGGTTAGGGTTAGGGTTAAGGTTGGAGCTAGGGTTAGGGTTAGGGTTAGGATTAGGGTGGAGCTAGGGTTAGGGTTAGGGTTAGAGCTAGGGTTAGGGTTGGGGCTAGGGTTAGAGTTAGGGTTAGGGTTAAGGTTGGAGCTAGGGTTAGGGTTAGGGTTAGGGTTGGAGCTAGGGTTAGGGTTAGAGCTAGGGTTAGGGTTAGGGTTGGGGCTAGGGTTAGGGTTAGGGTAAGGGTTAACTTCGTCTACTTCAGCAGCTACAACTTTTGAACCATCCTCCATCTCCTCACCCGTCTTTTCCCTCTAGACGTAGGACAGCGTCTTAAAGGGACATGAGACCATAGCCTACCTACACACATCCAAAACCAACTTTGATTTATTGATTTATTTAGACAGCAAATATACCGATATGGGCAAAATGACGTCGGTTATTGTAATAAATTTTCGGTTTATCGCCCAGCCCTAGGTTATATCCAGCATTAACAGTAAGGGACATGAGATTGTGTTGATATGAGATCTTTGCAGTAACTGTCTGATTAAGTAGCGGGATGATAAAGAACATCCTTCGTTTCCGAGTTACATCAGGCATGCTGGGAAATGATGAACCCAATTAGTGACCTCAAACGAGGTGAGACAGAAACAGTAAAAACCTCCTGGATTTAGAGAAAAAAAGCTGCTTTCATGGAAATGTAGCTGAACGAATAATAGATTTAAAAGTGACAGAAGCTATCTTCAGTGTTTTAATGTAATTAGACAGTAATTAAAACTCACTGATAAAGCTTTAAAACTCTACAAAGACCTTCGATCTTCACATTTAGAGCTTTTTATCGGGTTGTGTCTTGTGCATTTATGTAAAGAGCATGTTGGTGTATGACCCAGCTCAGTGAGTCCCTCCTCACCTCTTGCAGACTCTTCTCAGGTGAGTCCTCGTGGAAACTGTCTCTCTGTCCGCTCTGCCTCTGAGCGATGGAGCCGCTCGGTTTGATTCCACCCACAGCCACGCCTGGAGGATAGATCCCCGCCTTCTGCAGCTCCTGTCGATATTTGTCAAACAGCAGGTTGGAGGAACAGAGCACTGCTGTGGATTTAGGCTGAGGGCCAGCTTTTAGATCTTTCTGAGCTGGTGGGCTGGAGTAAGAAGAAAGTCTGAGTGAAGAAGCCTCCAGCGGAGCGTCTGGTTTGGCTTGAGGATTCTTTCGGACGTAGGTGATAATTTTAGGTCGGACATTTTTAGGCTTCTGCGGAGGAGAAGACCTCTTGTGCTCAGGCTCTTTCTGCTGAGAGGGGACCGGTTTTGGGATGCCGCTGCTCAAGCTGGTCTTCAGAGCCGGTTTGACCGGTTGACCGAAACCTCTGTGAGGAGAGTCGCTGCGCTCGCAGCTCAGCGCCCTGATGCCCTGAACCCTCGCCGGTGAACCGGGCGGTTGTCTCTTGGGGGAAGAGGAGGTAGTTCTCGGGGCAGAAGGAGTTGCTGGTCTGCTGGGGCTCCCCCATGGCTTCCTCCTCTCCAGGCTTGAAGAGCTGGAGGTGGCTGTGTTCTCGAAGGAGCCCTGCCTCTTCAGAGAGTTATCAAAGGAGAGCTGCTTCTTGAAGGAATTCTCGAACGATGGCTGCTTTTTGAAACTCCGGTCGAAGGAGTTTTGTTTTTTCAGAGAGGAATCAAACGATCCTTGTTTCTTTATGGCTTTGGAGTCCATGGACGACTGCGTCCCCTTAGTGCCTGTACTAGGTGGGCTGTAGACCACATCAGGAGCCTCGTTGGCTTGTGTGCTTTTATCCATTTTAGTCTGACTGTCCTCCTTTTGCTCAGTACTCCTCCCCTGGTCTTTCTCTGACGTGGTTTTCCCTGCTGTACTTCTCTGGTTCTTGTTCTTCCTGCTCTCGTCAAGAACCGCCTCACCTGAAACGTTCCCGTTACTCGCTTGTGCCGCCTCTGTTGAATTCAGATTCACGTCCACGACCTTCCCGTGTTTTGTGCTTTTTCCAGCATAGCATGAAGAACGATCCGTCTGACTCCTCTCTGAGACGGTGTTGCAGGTCTGTGAAACCAGAGTCAGGTCTTCTGAGACCGCCGAGTAAGGACCGGTTGTGGCGTTGTGCCAGGACTCCGTCGTTTGCGTCCTGCCTGCAGCATCCACGGCCGTGTCCATGTTTGAAATCGTGGTCAGACAGGTCACAAAGACGTCTGCTTCAGAGCTCCTCGATGCGTCTCTGCTCTCAGAGGCCGACCCTGAAACGCTGGATTCCTGCTCACTGGCGCCATGTGGACCGGACTTCCTCTCCTCCCTGCTCTGATCATCTCCTGGTTGTTCTTCTCTGGCTTTGCTGCACGATGAAGACTGTCCTTGAATCGCCTTCCGCTCTGCCAGTCCGACAAAGTCCTCCCCGTCCTCGACCAGGTAGGCCTCCAGCTCCTGACACTCCAGCATCTCGAACTCGGCCAGCTCAGGATCATCACACTGAGAGTCCGTGCCCCAGATGATGACTTTATCCTGCTCCGTCGTTTCTGTGATCAGCCCCGACAGAGTGCCTGTATCACCCGTCCTCCCACCGTCATCTGCGCAGATCTCATTGGCGTTAGCATCCCCGTCGGCCAGCACGCCCCCCTGCTGGTTATTATTCCTCAACTCCCCCTCACCGAAGGGCTCTCCCCGATCGCACATTTTGGAAACGGCTCTGAGTTTACGGCGCCCTCAGGAGCGGTTTTAAAATGAATCATCCATGGCGCGTCTGAGAGCCCATCAAGGTGTTTGTCTCACAGCAGGAGGCTGGGGATGATTTTCACATGTCGTTCCAAAACGTTGCTGATCATAGCTGTTCGTACGATCCCGAATATTAAAGACGGGTCTTCATGACATCCGGGGCTCCTTATCCTGTGAGAAAATACACAAAGAAGAATAAAGAAATGAGCAGAGTCCTCCACAGGGTACAGCTCTTCTTCATGGATGGATGATGTTTTGATTTCAGATGAATTTCAGATTAATTTGTGATGAAGTTCTCTGAAACATTATCTTCAGAAATGGAGATTCCATTTGGATATTGTACCTTAGAGACTTCTCACTGATCTCCAGAGTAATCAATACTTAATTAGCTCTATAAAACTCTTCATCTTTTTCATCTGGAACAAACAAACACATGTTCATTTTACAGAGCAGGGATGGGCGATAAATGATTGTTCATTTATATATCATCAGAAAAATCCTCCATGATAGCCGTGGCCCACACAGACAGAATAACAAACAAACATGAGGAAGATGTTTCTGAGCAGCCTGTTACTGAACGAGGCTTCACATGAGATGTTTCCTTCAAGATTGGGGTTTAAATGAGCGTGATCAGGTCTGCCTGACATCGGAGAGTAGATCTGCTGCTGCCCACTGAGCAATAGACGGCTATTAGACGTCTAGTTTTTTTTTAGACCTAATTTCAACCGCCTAGATTCTGTATATTTTTAGAAAGAATTTAGACGTTGTACTTTAACCCATTATTCAATAACTATTTATCTCAAAGAGCAACTGTGGGTTGTATAACTGATCTCCAAATACTTAAACAAAATAATTATGATAGCCATTGAGCAAAATACAGTGTAGTGAAGATATAGCCTAGATTTAGACTTGGTCCAAACTTGGTCTAAATTTAGACGTCTAAAAAAACTTTCCTTTTTAGACCTGTGGTAGCCCCATTTTAGACCAGCCGTCGAGGCTACATTTAGATGTCTATTAGACCTCTTTTAGACCAAAAAATGCTCAGAGGGTGTTCACTCTGTGCAATAAGAGTTTTCAACAAATGTTGAAAATGTTTTCACATTTGAGACCTGTTTGATGTCATTAGTTTTCTCCATAACCTAGGGCTTAAACTTGTGGTTAAGTATCTTATTTGATGATTCCAACTGGTGTTCTCAAGACAGAATGAGTCAAAAATATTGATTGGAATTATAATATTTGTTATCTGGATCTGGAATTTTTTATCCCATATCGCCCATCCCTATCACAGAGTGATAGATTAGGAATCTTTGATCACATCTGTAAACCAAATCTTGAGCTGCAGATGCACCAACTGTGACAATCCTGTCCTTATTGTCTCATATGGTTAAAAACTGACCGACATAACAAGCTTCCATGTTCAGAAAATATCATTAAAGAGAAGAGAAGCCTGCAGCAGGAGCCAATTAACCTTAACTCGAACTGGAGGTTACTGAGTTTATCCAAAGTAATCCCAGAAATGACAGACAGTCCTGCAGCAACATTAAACTAGCCTCCTCTGTACGGGTGGATGAGCATGAACATGAGAAACGTCCGGTCGCCGCTAAATTGCATTTGCCTTCAGATCCCAAACAACCCTATCACAACAGGATTATTTATCCTCTGCGGCGATGCAGTATCCTGTAATCCCCGACGTTCCCCCTGCAGCAGCCGATCCTGTTCACCCCTGAATTTCTCCTGTGGAAACAGTAAACATCAGTGAGCCCGGAGCACAGAGTGAAGGACACCACAACATGTCACCTCCTGACATCAAACTAAGCTGCTGCTGCTTCTTCTTCTTTGCTCTTGAACAGAGGAGGACTTGAAGGATGACAGCATGCTGAGGTGGAGGTTAAGTCTGTTTCACCAACATTAACCACCAACGGATTTACTTTTTTAATGTTTGTGTTGATCAATACTGTAGTAAGTACTGAAGGCCACAGTAGTTCTTTTAGATGTACTGAATCACTAGAATCAGTTCACTACAAAGATTCGTTCAAATGATTCGTTTACTGAATCACTGAATCATTCAGCGCTTGGTGGGAGGAGCCTGCGACACCGACTTCCTGAACTGATACACACCTGAACGGTTCACAGTTTTGGTTTTTTTGTAGGATGGTAGAGGAAGGTCCCGCCCTCCTTCACCTCTGATTGGCTATAAGTGCTGGGCTTCGATTGGTTATTCCTAATGGCTGTGAAATGTCATTATCCGCTGGGTTTGGGTTAGGATTAGGTTTAGGGTTAGGAGATTCAGAAGTGCGATAATGTTCTGTTCGATGTACAGAGCTGACAGCCCGCGTTTGGCTTGAGCGTGTGATGACGTTTCCAGCTTTTCTAGCCAATCAGAGGCAAAGGAGGCGGGACTTTCCCCTACCGTCCAACAAATAAAAATATTGCGAACGGTTCGGTTTTCAGTTCAGTTCACAGCTTCTGAGACAGAGAGACGAGTGTTGTGGCTGTGTTGCTTTGATAAACACGTTTGTAAAAATAAACACATTTTTAAATCATGATCTTTTAAGTCTGCTGTCCTATGGTATGCTAATTATCTGGTCTACTCAGTAAAGCTGCTGACAGCTCAACTGAACTGAGAAACAAACGAATCACTTCAGGAAGTGATCTGGTTCAGTACGCTCACTTAAAAGATTCGTTCTTAAGGAGGAATCATTCGCAAACGACACAGCACTACCGGAAAGTAAAAAAGTATTTAAACTCCAAATCAAGTGATCTGCACTGAAGTCACATGGAGCTTTAGAATAAAACAATCATTTTCTCAAAGTGCAGAAAATCACCTCATGAGCTGAGGTCGTCAGAGGACTTATAATTCTATCAAAGTTCGGTCTCAGACTCTCCGTTTGTCTGGCTGCTCATCAATTATTAAAGGAGCTGTATTTAAAGCTTACTGTAAAAAAACAAGACTATCAGCACCATCCTCTGAAATCTGCAGGAAACAAGCAGAGGAGGAATAAAACATGTCTGCAGATAGACCCACAGCACGCTAAGTTTAGCACTTCTTCCATTATCAGCCTTGGTAGACAGATTCAGACGGGTACACTACATTAACTTCATATGAGAGGATGATGTTTCCACTGAGTCTTGTTATGATTTATCTCTTGGGAGATCAGAAAGCAAAGGAAGAATATGTTTATGACAGTAAACAGCATTAGCAGAACTTTATTACCTCCGCCAAGGAGGTTATGTTTTCGGTAGCGTTGGTTTGTTTGTCTGTGAACAACTTTACAGAGAAAGTTACAGACAGATTGACCTGAAATTTTCACCAGAGGTGCGTCTCAGCCCCAGGAGGATCCCATTACATTTTGGTGGTGATCCGGACAAAATTCCAGATACTGTGATCCAGAACACACAAAAATAAGGGTGTCGTTGGAATTTTCAATGCTGAAAGATAACCAATGGGCGGCACAGTGGTGTAGTGGTTAGTACTATTGCCTCACAACCAGAAGGTCCTGGGTTTGAATCCCGGTCAGGGCATTTCTTGTTTTAGGAACATTATGAACAGTGAACATACCAGTTTAAACACAAATAAAAGTTCATAAAAGACACGTAACAGTAAAAGTTTAGGTGTGAATCACAATATAAGGGGGGACATGAGCTGCTTGGCGGAGGTCTGCACTCTCCGAGTGCTTTTCTAGTTAAACACTCTGTTTGTCCTGTTGAGACTGAAACCTGACTGACTGCTGCTCCACCTCATGTCTTTCCTCCTAATGTGTTCACACGGCGTGTCTTTATGTCACCAAACTCTGCTTTGAGTAAGATTACAGTTTTCCTTTACAGCTCGAATGATAAAACTGTTGTCTATAAAAATTTGGAGGTGCCCTCAGAGCAGGATGCAAAGACAGAAGTGTGTGTGTGTGTGTGTGTGTGTGTGTGTGTGTGTGTGTGTGTGTGTGAAGCACAGACTTACACACGACTACAGTATAACTGCTGCCTCAGCAGCTGCACTGCAGAACACAGAGCCGTGAATCAGACTCCCTCACACATGCTCGCCTCACCCCGCCTCTCTACCAGGACTTTCAAGGTTCTGTCGAGTCTTTGCAGGAAAAAACTCCCTCTTTGTGTTGACAGAGAGGCAAAAATCCTCACATGTATCCCACTCTGTCAAGGATTTAAATGAGGTCTGATATGTGATCTGGTAGCAGAACTGTTTCTGCAGCTCCCTCGATTGCTTCTCTGTCGCTAATATTGATTTCTAACTGCAGATCGATAAAGCGCAGACCGCTGTGAAGACACAACAGAACCGCACATCAAATGATACTCGTCAGAAAAGTGGGGACAGGAAGGATGTGACTCACAAGTTTGCAGGTTTAAATCTGGCTGTTCTGGAGGACAGAGTGCTGGAGGACAGATATCTTGCAAAAAAAAAGTCAAACTTGAGATGATAAGTAGCGAGCATTTACCAAGAAACCCTAAAAAAAGACCATTTTTGCTTCAAGCAGTCTAAAATATTAACTCTGAATCCTTGTCTTCAACACCTGCCCCAGTTCTTACTGTGGAATTTATAATCCTCTGCCTCTCTGCAGCTCTCCATGCTGGATTAAATCAGAGCAAAACAGAGATAATTAAAAAGTTCGTTATTCCGACCTCTTCTCTTCAGAGACTCTGGGGAGTTCAGCTCCTCAGTACAAACCCTGTGGTCTAAAAAAGTCCACCACGAGTGTGCTTTAGGGATATTCTTCACACACACGTACAGGCTGTTCTTCTGTACATGCAGGCTGTCAGCACTTCCCTTTTTTTTCTCCTTCATAATTTACGGCTCACGGTTGTTTTCCTCCTGAGGTTCTCCTGCTGCTGCAACAGCTGATAATGTCCTCGCTGTGACACAGCCGTGGAGGAGGGAGATTGAGGAAATTTATGTTCTCCATAACAACATGCTTCCCCGAGCGTGTTCCCCATCCCCCCATCGCTCTGTATCTCACCCACTGCCACTGCCACCTGCCTCCTGATATGCAGCGTGATGGTGAGACCTTCAGAGATCTGAATCCTCGTGCATGTGAGTGTGAGTGTGCATGGAAAATGTTTTTTTTCTCCATAATTCTGGAGCTCCAGGTTGAAGAACCAAAGATCAGGAGCCCATCTTTTGGTCACCAGCTGCTTCACTTCTGCTGCTTCACTGGAATTCTCATAAAATATTGAGGATGAGTGAAAATGGAGGCATCAGTCCCCCTCTAGTTTCACGCTCCGGTGGCTCTGACTTCTTTGTGTAACCAGCCGAAGCTCAACCCCAGATCTCATTTGTGACTCAATAAGAAAACCGGAGAGGTAGTAAACTGTGTGCATCAGGACATCCACGGTGAAAAACAGTAAAAAAGGCAATGCCACCAAAGCTCCTCATGGAGGCCCTGGCGCTGGTTTTCACCTCACTGGACCTCTTATATAATGGAGAGATGAACACACCAGCAGAACTTGTAAAATCTGAGTAATGGTTATTCCTTCAGCTCATGATGTCTCGTTCCTCTTCCTCATTTTACAGTCTCTAAAAATAAAGTGCATCCACACTCATGATCCCCAAAACAACGAGGCTTCCTTGCTTTTAGGACAAACACACACACACACATACACACACATACTGAATAAGTGTTATGAAATACACGTGTCCATACACATTTATGCACACCTACACACACACTCAAAAGGAAGCACACCTATGAGAGGTAGGTCACCTGATTTTTTTTCTATATTCTCCAGAGATAGGCCGTTTTTAGAGCATGCACTTGTGGAAACGATCAGCCTGATGCTCAGACATGAACAGCAGCAGAAACAACAGGATGGTCCGCAGTCTGTCAGCAGATGCAGCACATTCAATAAAATCCAATTATCACAGCCGCTCATTATTACAGATAAGAAACACAGAGAGAGAGAGAGAGACTGGAGGAGGCTTTAACCGGACTGTGAGGGGGATTCTTACCGTTCAGACGGAGGTGATCCTGATGGAGCTCCGCGCTGAGGAGGAAGAGGAGAAGGAGAAGGAGGAGGTCCACATCCAGGTTACCCGAGAGAAGGTGGAGGGAGTCTGCAGCATCGCTGGAAAACAGCGAGAGGGACGAAGGGTGAGTCTCTACGCCCATGTCGACACGGACTGAGGACGCCCCCTGCAGGTTGAAAAAGATATTCAACTGGTCCTGCATAAAAAGAAACAGTATAACATGCACTAATATACACCCAACATCTGCACAATCTAACTTCATATTTAGTCTATGTATGTGTGAGATAAGTGGGCTTTACAACCTTTATGTGTGCAAGCAAACAGGCGAAGTATGATCTACAAATGCATATGTGAATCAGGCATGGGTGTAATAAGAAAGTGGAGTTCGTGTGCTGAAAGGTTTTAAATTTAAACTTTTATTTATAGTGTTAAGAAGGGGAGATTTTTCTGGACTCTGAATTGTGATGGATGCTAAAACACTTACCAACTTCTGGAGGTATTTACTGAACAACACTGGACTCCAAGTTTTGCAATAACCAAAGTTCATCTTTTAAAGATAACTCACATGAACACAGGATTGAACAGGATTATAGAACAAAAATCAGTCTGGTTTTATTCAAGGAACACACTAAAATAGACATTGATAAACATAGACGATTGAAGTTTGTTGATTCTAGATGACTTGGGCTTTGGTAAATATTTAAAAAGAGGGAATCAGACTTTATTCACAGACTGTTAAGGGTTAAGTTTAACCTCGACCCACAAAGTTACAACATTCATGTTGGAAGAGACACAAGAAGACAATTAAACTTCATTTTTACCTGTATGGGAAAATTATTTTATTTTTCAATCTTTAAATCTCTTTTAGTATAAAAGCCCTAATACACCACATATACTTTGTTATAAGTATATTCAGTGTGTCAATACAGAAATGAAATTGATCATATATCATTGACATTTTTGATTACACTTAAATAAAAATGGGCGAATGAAGTTTCTTATGGAAGTTCATTCCCTCTGATAACTCTGAGGAAAAAGATGTTACCAAATAAAAATGATACATGACTTTTTATTTTAAGTCCCTCTTCTTATTTTTACACAGCTGTATAAGTCGATATCAAATGCAGAAGTTTCTGGAATTTAACTTCAATTTTAGATCATGAAATTTTACATACTTTCCGCAAACTGCACCCAGTACTTTGCTATGTTACTTAAACATCCTGATACCCTCCTGTGATTCCTTATGTCTGTTTTTGATGAGATTGTGTTTTTTGTTGAAACTGTCCAAAGACAAATTTCTGTGTTTGACCTGCAGAAAGGAAGATAATAAAATAAAGGGGATATTCAACATTTCATCAAGCTGAAAAGGACTCATTTATTGAAACAAACATGTATATATATATATATGTATTTATTTAATGCACTTCTGGTAACAGTTTTCTAGACATTTTAAAACAGCTGATTTTAGTGTTTATCATTTGATGGTTTAAAGCTGGGAGAGAAAGTTAAAGCTGTGATAGGAGCCGACACCTAAAAGCAACATCAAAAGTATTTACAAACACAAACGAAAAAAAGAAAAAACTGGAATAAAATATACAGACAGAAGATAAATGTGAGCTCTGCAGCTGATGACACATGATCTCCCAGTTTAACTTAAGTCTGTTTGTTTCATATCACTTATTCTGTTTCCTCACAAAGCTGTCAAGTATTCAACATTTTTAGGCTGAGTTTAGACAAACACACAAAAAGTAATAATCCATTGACATAAATAACTGAATAATCCAGTTCTGACAGAAGAAACTGAACATAACTCACCGAAAGTTTCTCATAAAAATGAATCATCAACTCAACTTTCTTTTCCCTAACATTTAGAGAGCGCAGACACGCAGCAGGGAGAGCAGGATACTGATGCGGTCACTTCAGATGTTAATGTTCCTGTTTATCTGCGTTATTACAGTATCACTGTCGTCAGCACTGTCAGGGCTGCAGCTGGAGTATTCCGTCTCAGTTTCAGGTCATAAACAGGAGAATTATTGTCCTCTGATATTCTGAGCACTGATTGAGATCGGTCAGTTAAACCGCCCCGTTTGTGAAAACAGTGACTCGTTCAATCGTTCAAATTTAAAAATTTCGATTCCAAGTTTCGATGCCGGAGTCCGCCGACCGGAAGAAATAGCCGCCGAATACCAACGAAGAAGACGCCGCTTAACACCACCGAGGACGGAGCGTATGAGACGAAGCCACACAGAAAGAGAAGAGAGACAGAACAAAGAGCGAACAAAGTTTACTGCTCCACTTGACATGTTGTCATGATCTAATACCCGTGTTTTATTAAATATGAGATCATATTTCTTCCACTTTAAGACGCTAATGAGTGGAGAGGAGGCATTCTACGGCAGGGATGCATTTTACAGCACAACACCGGTCTTCCGCTAACCAGCAAGAATCAGATAGGTGAAACAATAAATTACTTCTGTCTTCTGCTAACTTTGAACCGGTAAACAAATTGTACTGTGTACGGTGAGTAAACTTAAATATCCAACTAACATTAGCCCTTGTACTTTTTCATAGAAAAACGACCTGACAACAAAAATTGATATTTATATACTGGTTGAAAAAAGCCCTGTGAGAAACTCATAGTAAAGTTCTTAAAAAGTTAATGTGATTTAAAAATTCATGAAGAAGTTCAGAAATTTCATCTAAAAAGAAGAGCTCCGGTTAGAACCCTCATTCAAACCATGCATCTTTTTTTTTTTTTATATCCTGCCTTTTAAAAGAATCGAAGAAAATAATCGATAGGAATCGGAATCGAAACAAGGAATCGAAATCGAAATTGTTCAAAATCAAACGATACCCAACCCTACTCAGATCTCATTAATCATGAAGCCAAGTAAGTGAAGACACCTGGTGCTCCACAGCTCAGACCCCTGGACAGGTGGAGTTTGAGTGTGAACTCGCTCACACTCACTGCCAGTTTCTACCTCCACAGTCATGTACCCTGTCAGACTGGTAGAGGGCGCTCTCTTGATATTTCCCTTCTTTCTTCTTTCTGTAAAAGTATTTTCATGAGCACAGGGAAGTTTGTTTTTTTTGTGCTTTAAAAAAAATAAAAACAAGCAAAACAAACCGAGTCCCGTTGCCATGGAAACTGCCCATGCTCCACAACACCACCAACTAAACTTGACCTAGACTGAGATGTGTGTGAACCAAAAACATGAAAACACTCCACTCAGAGAAAAAATCTCTTACACATTATAAATATGAGTTTCCCCACAATTCATATTTGCACTATATACAAACAAAACATTTCACAACTGTAGCTGCTGATCGAGCGATAGTCGGCCTCTAGGAGGCATAACATTCTGAGTCATCTTCTGTAATATCTGCTGTATCAGTTCACATTTTCCCAAAGAGACAACACTGTACCGTGAGTTTGATCTCTTGTTATTTTGTGCGCTGAAACCGTCGAAAAGGCGAATCCATCTCATGATCACAGAGAACTAAAGCAGACCCTACAGAGCAGCATTTCTCTGAGTTCAAGGTAAAGATCAGGCACATAGCTGAGCTCTTCATACAGTACACACTCTCTGTCAGGAGTTCAACATCGACACACAGGATTTACCTTTGAGGTAAACTGGTAACACTAAAGGTACCAAAGACAATCTCAGCTGGCTTTGAGGACACTTCTCATTGTTAGAGGAGGAAAGTTCAGGCGTTTAAAAACAAGATGATCTTCACCGGATTTGGACACAGCAGCCGGCACTGCGCCTCCGAGTGAAGCAACACCTGTGACAGACTTTCACCAGGTTAGACTTATCAACTTTTATCTTACAGATTTTTTTACGGTCCGTGTCGTCTTTTTTGAAAAGCTTTTGATGTGATTTGGGATCTAATAAATAGAGGTCTCAATATAGATTAAAATAATAAAGCTTTTAAAAGCCTGAGAAGCAGCAAAGATTCAAAGTTTAAGATCAAAACTTGATCTGAAATATCAGGTCCGAGATCATCTAAAACAACATTTTACAGGGTTTACTTGACAATGTCTAATTTTTCATTTGTCAGTGTGCAGAATATTTAAAAACTGGACTAGAAAACTAACTCGTGGATTCAGTCTTATGTGGACTGACCTGGTCATTTTAAAAAGTTTGGACTCAAAAGTAAAACGACTTTCGAAAAGCCTCATTAGAATTCTCTCTGGACGGAACAGCTGGTCTCTCAGACTGGACGGGTGCCCTGAAGTCTCATTTGTTTCCCTAACAGATAAAAGTGGACCTCCTGACTCCTCAGGAATCTTCATCATCGTCTGCGTCATCCACGTTCTCCGGGTTGTGTAAGAAGGCTTCTTTCTCTGCCATGGGCTCTCCTTTTATCGCACAGGCTGGAGTGAAGCCGGGAGGTGCGGTCATCACTGCCTCTGCGCTGTTTCGGATGCCGTAGGCGAAGTAGATTAAGAATCCTGAAAAAACACAGAGGCAAAGATTTTTACCTTCCAGGAAAACCAGAAGAGATTCAACAGGCTAAAAAAATAAACAGAAAAATCCAAAATGTACCGAAAGCCATCCACACAGAGAAGCGCATCCAAGTCCCCTTATCGAGCTGCATCATCAGATAGACGTTGATGAACAAACTAGCGACTGGGAGAACAGGCAGCAGAGGAACCTGAGAGGAAATTAAAAGATCTATTTAGTGAGCAAAGAGACGCCGAGCTAAATCATCAAAACTTTAAACAGGAAGAAGAGGAACGGTACATGTATGGCTACAGGGAGATCCTTCACAACCTGTTCTTAACTCGACTGAATGCAAAAGAGGAAACTGACTGAGGGCTGAGGGAGGAAAACTGCAGAACCTTTAAGGATATTTGACGTCTTATTTTGAAAGTCAGATTGATGATGTTTATTAATGGTTCATTAAACTTTAGCTTCTAGAGGACATGGTTATATTTCAATGGAGGAAAACTGTGTTTATAAAAAGTCAATCATGGAGTCCCATAACGTCCAAAAATGGGACTGATTCATTTCATTTCATTTTAACTCCCTCCTGGTAACATTATGAGGAAACACTGAATAAATGTTCACTATTATGAGGATGATGATCAGTTTTCCTTATCAATGAAGTCAAAACTAATCAGCTGTCTAAACTACAGAGGAGGTGAGAATTCAACACATAAAGACCAGGACTTATTTGTTACTCAACTCTTTATCGTTTTTGTAGGGCTGGGTGATATGACCTCAAATCAATATCACGATATATTAATCAGTTCGCTTCAGTAACGATAAATGAACGATAACTACTCCACAAGCTGCTCACCCTCTCCAATATTAACTTTGTCTACTTCAGCCGCTGCTAGAACTTTTGAACCGTCCTCCATGAGTCACGTCTGTAACGTAGGACAGCGTCTTAAAGGGACATGAGACCATAGCCTTCCTACATACATCCAAAAATGAACCTTTATTTATTTATACTCTTTGACACCAAATATACCAATATGGGAAAAAATGACGTTGGTCATTGTTGTAAATTTTGGTATCGGTATATTTTCCGTTTATCGCCCAGCCCTACACTGAACATTCCAGGACCTGGAAATGATGCTCTGTCCAGTGGCATCAGCAGACTTATCAGCTAGTTCATGTTTATTTTCACTGGCAGGTGGGTCTTGGATTGCTGAACCAATCATTGTTCTCTACTGAGAAATGAGGCGGGTTCTACGAGATGACAACACAAGGGCGTCACTCTGCCTTTTCGTAAACAACTGAAGTAGGTCTAAGATATCAGCTTTTGCAGGTGTTTTAAATGAACTAGTTGATGTGATTTCAGGCAAAATGACGTTGGGTGTTTCAATATCGATAAATTTTCAGTCTAACGCCCAGCCCTATAACTGTCTATGTAACACTGAGTAAATACTGCACACACTCATCTTGTATTATTGTCATTTCAAAGCCTGCAGGCCTGAACAGCTGCAGGCAGAGGAGTGCTTATGTGTCACCACAAAAGAGTTTTCGATAAATTTTCAGTTTATCGCCCAGCCCTACTTCAGTGAGCGCTTGTTGAGCAGGTTTGCAGCAACACTGTTCTCTAAATTGTCCTCTTCTCTCTGTTTGCTGATTGATGTTTGCTCTGCTGTTTCACTTCAATCTAATCTGGAAAGCGTCTAACGGCGTCTTTGAGATTAACCGAGTACGTGTGAAGCAGATTATGAAAGGACACGAGGGAGTTGTTTGGGGGAAAGATCGCTCTGTACCTTGAAAGCCAGCTTGGCCTTGCTCTGCGGCTGTCTCCACACGATGATGGTGAGAATTAGACAGACCAGCAGAATCACACTGAGGATAAACAAGGACCATACCGCCAGACCTCCATGAACGGCTACAACGCTGAACACACACACCAGAACACCTGCGGGGGGGGAGAAGACGAGCAAAGATGAGCTTTTGTTTTGGTAACCGGGTGAATTATCCCATGTGTCTGACTCGGAGTGCTCCTCACCGATGATGCTAGTGCAAATATTGACGGCAAACCCGGACAGAGGAGACGGTTCGGTGTTTGAAGGCATGAAGAGGTTCTTGAGGGTGAAATGATCGTCGGGCTGAGGCAGCATGTCCATCTTCCCCTCGCTGAAAGACTCGGCCTGCTCGGAGTCATCCTGAGTGTTGGCCATTTCATAAACCGCGCTGGGCTGTTCCGGCTGGTACCTGATGATTGAAATAATGATTAATCTACCTGTATGTAACATAACATGAAATAGAGTATAGGGGAGGATCAGGAGGAGCATCGCTGAGCATTTTTGTGGTTTTTGGCTCAACAACTGAAGACAAGTTTGCACAGGCTGTTTTTTATCCCGCCCTTCTTTAGAATAGACTCACTTACTCGCACAAGAATTTGATTCTCATGAAAACATGATGCAAACTTGCTAAAAGACTGGGTACTTTGTTTTTCATGAAGCTTATAGTGAAGTTAAAATCCATGAGATACTCCAAGTTCCTCATTTTAGTTCAGACAGCTGGCGGCTCTCCTGATCTTCCCCTAATTTCTCATAAATTTACAACTTTATTCCTGAATATTTGCAACTTTAAAGCCCTGATATTCCTTAAATAAACGTATCTGTTCATGAGTAAGGATGTTGAGTACCTGAGGACCAGCACACAGGCAGCCACCAGAGTGTAGGCCAGCAAAGTGCCGATGGACATGAGGTCGACCAGGTCCTTCAAGTCAAACAGGAAAGCCATGATAGCTGCACAGGAGGAAAAATCAACAAAGTCAGAAAGATGATCAACTCCTCTAAACTCTACGTGTACAAAAAAAAGATAGAATTTACAACAATTCAGAGCAGAAAGGACATTTTTTTAATCATTTACCCTTTAAAACAAATATATTCTCAGATTATTCCTGCTAATGTCTGTTTATCTATGACTACAGGCTACTTTTGCTACCATCCTCCTTCCACAAGGGGGCACTGCTGCCCCTGGCCTCCTCTCAGCCACCTACCAGACAAAAGCCCGGCCACAAAGGTGGAGATGATGGGCGTCTTCCTCTCGCTGACACGAGCCAGAAAAGAGAAGAGCAGACCATCGCGAGCCATAGCAAAGATAATGCGAGGAAGAGGAAACATGGAGCCGAGGAGACTAAGCCGAGGATGGAGGAAGAAGGAGGGAGCAGACATTTTTTTTTTTACTTCAAAAAAAAACTTCTTTCACAACTCTGCTTTTACACAACGCCTCAACCTTAGCCTTCCTCTGTCCGATAGACAGGGTCAGATTGGAGTATCTTCAGTCTTGAGCTCTCGTTGAGGCCTTGTGCACCGAGAGTGTCGTCTATGAACCCCAAACAGTTAGTAGGTTTAGAGGTCACGCTCACCTGCCACAACACCGGATGTTATAGTGGCTGTTAGAGGGGTTTTGGTTCTCGGGCTGATTTTAGCCAAACATTTGAAGAGCAGGCCGTCCTCCGCCATGGCCCAGATCACTCTGGGCATTGGGAACATGGAACCTAGCAGGCTAGTAGAGGAGAGAGAGAGAGAAATGCATGCCGTGCAGGTGAAAAAACACACGGTTAGGAAATATTACAGGGGGCTGAGTGACAATCTGAAGATAAGACATAAAGAGCATCACTGGCTAGGGCTGGGCGATATGGCCTAAAATCAATATCACGATATATTGAGCAGTTCACCTCGATAACGATAAATACACCATACGATACACGATACGATATTATAGCGGTTCTTAACATTTTGCAATACAGTGAGTATTACGATACAACATCTTGCGATTTATCCATTTTTTTTCAACTGTTTAGCTAGTTTAGCATTTGTCTTTCCTTTACAATTGTCTTATTTACGCTGTATTTGAAATATTTGGTAAAATACAACTAAAAACAGTAGAAAACCCTCACGGATGTAAGTGCCACCAAACGCTCTAACAATGAACAACAGGAGTATGAAGTTTAAAAGCTTCAAGGTATAGATGAGACCATGCAATGACCTCTTTGGCCACAAAACCTCCCTGTCTTTACCGTTAAATTCAGAGATGTCGTCAAATCAAATCTCCACAACTGACTTTTCTTTTTATTATTATTTATTTGACACCCGATTTACCGATATGGGCAAAATGACATCTGTTATTGTTGTAAATTTCTGTATCGGCATATTTCCGGTTTATCGCCCAGCCCTATCACTGGCTATGTAACACTGAGTAAATACTGCACATATATTTATCTGATATGTTGACTGGAGGGCAGACTGAGAGCCTCGATGTCAACAATTCAGGTTCTAAACCTTCGAGACAAATCTGTTCTGCAAACGTTTCACACGGAGGCTAATGTATGCAACGATTTTTGTTAGACCTCGGAGGGGAACACACAATGTTTCGCTGAGTCACACTGTATGCAAACAAGGAGTTTGTTTGTTTACGAGAAAAAACACCACAGGGCACTTTAAAGTGTGTCAAGCAGCATAAGTGTTACACATACATCTCATAAGAATCACCTTTAAAGGATTATTCTGTAAATTCTCATTCAGTGGATCACTTAAGCACAAAATTAAACACGACAGGAGGAAATGAAAATGTGGATTTTGGTGCACTGGAGTTATTAATCCCAAAAAAAGTCTGCAAACATTAAAGAGCTCCTCCGCTTCTCATGCTGAGAGGCGGCAGAGAGCCTCTTACCTGGTCGACAGAGCACACAGAGAGCCGATGGCCACTGCGTAATTGGCCCCCTCCCAGCCCACGTATTTAAAGGCCACGGGCAGAGGGCTGTTCATGTCCAGCAGGTAGTACGGCATCATCACCGTGAGGGCCGCCGACACGCCGAAGTAGGCCACGAAACAGATCAGGAGAGAGGCCACGATACCGATGGGGATGGCTCTCTGAGGATTCTTCACTTCTTCTCCTGCAAAGGAAATATCACCGAGGACGTCAGAGAGAGGGGGGGCGAGTTTTTATTTCCTCCCTGAACCCTTGACCCTTAACTCTGAGTCCTTTAAGACCTGGAGTGGGATTATGTGAATGATTTTCGGATAAATCTAAGTATGGGACAGGACTTTGCTGCAGATTTTGACACTCAAATCAAACCACATATTCATAATATTATGTATAAATTAAAAAATGGGGCTATTTCTCCTGCTACCTCCGTCACACCAGGATTAGGTGTTAAAAATTACAATATAAAAAACTTCCATCTATTTTTTGATGATCTTGTTTACTTTTTTTAAAACCATAAAAGGCATTAATACAAATTTTAGTCTATTTCAAAAGGGTCTAAAAACTCCTAATTGGAGCTTTAAACAGAGTAGAAGTTTGATGTTTCAGATAAATCATGAGAAGCAGAGAAGTTATTTATATTTATCTCTGCAAACTTTTTGACAAACAGATATTGTTCGTTTTTGTGCTGCAGGATGAACCCAACCCTCAAGACGGAGGAAGAATCTGGTTTCATTTAGTCAGAAATGAGCTTTTCGGAGATAGAAACAGGTGCACAGGTGAACCCTGGCAATATTTCGGATTCATACTTCGACATTTTTTAAAGCGTAAACACTGCACCTTCCACATTTCTTATTTGGTCTCTTAATTTCCATGTTTTGGGGTCCATTTAGCCTCTCATGCTTGCAGGCTTCCCCTGGGAACCCGGTGATTCACATTAAAATGCCGTCAACTATCTGTAATTCCCTCACACTAAGTCTGCAGGGATATCCACTGAGTGAAAGGATCTCACACAGAACCCTCAGGGACACCCCTAAGCCCTCCTGGACTTAGCAGGACTCTGAGACCGGGCCAAGTAGCTATGAGTGTGTTGATGTGTCCCGCCTCACCTGTAGTGGCGATGCAGTCAAACCCAACAAAGGCGTAAAAACAGGTGGCAGCACCAGAAAGGACTCCAGTCCAACCAAACGGCATGAAGCCGCCTGAACCCAGACTTTCTTTACTTGGTAAAGGTACTGAGAAACTGGAAGAAAAAGAAAAGTTTGTCAGGTTACTTGAAACAAAAGTCAACAGGGACGTTATAAAATCTGACGGTTTCACTCACTTGCTGAAGGAGTTGTTGTTGTTGTTGTTGTTGGTGACGTTAAGGATTTCATCAGGGTTCAAGCTCCAGTTTTTTGTGTCGCCTTTGACCAAGCCGGAGATGATCACAAACAGCAGCACCAGAACGTTGATGCAGGTGAAGACTTTGTTCACCAAGGCCGACTCTTTCACTCCGAACGCGAGAAGTCCTGCAGCGGGAGAAGAGATGAAATTTAGTGTTTGAAAATACAGAAATTGAACAAAATTTGAAGTAAAAATCTGGTCCTCACCTGTCAGAGTGAGGATAATGAAAACTGCAAATATATCTGGATACTCGGCCAGGATTCCTGGAGCCTTCATGGGCATGTGCTCTCTGCAGAACGCCTCAATCTGCCGTCCAATTAGCTCATCGAAGGTGGCGCTCCACGCTCGGGCCACACTCGAAGTTCCTGTGTGGAGATGAAGAATTTAAGTCGACCTGTTTTATCAGCAAACGTCTTTAACTTTCTTATTTAGAGAGTTTTACCGATGACGTAAGAGAGGATGAGGTTCCAGCCTGTGATGAAGGCCCACAGCTCTCCGACCGTCACATAGCTGTAGAGGTAAGCGGATCCAGTTTTAGGGACCCGGGCTCCAAACTCGGCGTAGCAAAGACCAGCCAGTACTGAAGCGAGGGCGGCGATGAGGAAGGACAGGACAATCGCAGGACCGGAGCTGTCTCTGGCCACAGCTCCAGCCAGCACGTAGACTCCCGCGCCGAGCGTACTGCCCACGCCCAGCGCCACCAGGTCGAAGGTGTTCAGGCATCGAGACAAGCGGGAATCTTCCGTGTTACAGTCCACAACCTTCACCCGCAGGAGCTGCTTCCCGATGCCCTTTAAGGTGGCCAGAATCATCCTGGCTGGAAGGACGGACCGAAAACTTTACAGAGGAAAATTCACCTGTGAATAAAAGACAAAACATGATTCGATTTGTTGCATTTACGGACAAGAGAAAGAAGCATAATCCCCCTCACGCTCCCTGTGAACAAAAATGAAAATGAGAGCACTGCTGCTGAGATATTTTCTAAATAAAAGTACGACCACTGCAGCTGAAATGGGATGACTTTAGTCCATTCATGTCATGTCTGCCTGTCTGTCTGTCTGCCTCTGGACGTCAATAAAACTTGCAGCTGTTTGAAAAGCATCAGTCAGGTCACAGGAAATGACTCTAGATAAGCACATAAGATGAAGCTGTTCATACTAATGAAGCAATTTAGAGTATTTACCAAGTAGGAGGGCGAGAGTAAACATAATTAATACTTAATTTGAGGGAGAAACTACCAACGTGTTTGTCTGTATCCGTGAAAATTCACCACATTATCCTTTCTGTTTGGGAAAGTGTGTTTTAAAACAACCTGATGTGCAGAATTTCAGTCATAGTTTAGCTCCAGGTTAGTTGTGTTTAAACTATTCACACAGCACATTATGTAAACGAACAGCATGCACTTTTAACTATTTACTGGGACGTGAAAAAACTGCAATATGCACACATGCAAGATCAAGATATTAAATATACTGAACATCCTAACTGGAGGAGGAATTTTCCGAGTGCAGCTCGCTCATATTTTTCCACCGTCTCATCTTTTTATTACCAACACGGTGGAAATCAAGTTCGGTAATCATGCATTGGGGCAGTCAAGTCAAAGCAATCCCATTTTCTGATTGGACGGGACAATCTTGACAGTGCTCAGCATAAATGAGTACACCCCTTCAGATTTGTCAGAAAACCTTTAGTTTTCTTTCAAAATCAACATTTTCTATGTCAGACTAAACAACAAAATACTCTCCAAGATGTAGGCTATAGACGGGTTTCTTGTGTACAAAGAAAAGCCTGCTTCGGAGTGAACTGATATCAATGAAGATGCCGTATTGTTTGCAAGTTCTCCCTGAAAACAATCGCAATAAAATGTCACTTTGTCTTACATTGCATCAAAATCAGAAAAACACTCGCTGAAATATCCATGAACTTCACTCAGTTTACCAGGTTGTGACGTTGTATTTAGATGTTTCTAATATCTAGGTCTTAATGTTTGCCAATTGTTTGTTTTGCCGATTTGTGCATTTTCTTTCTCCGCTGACTCCGCTAGTAAACAAATAAGAGACGTCCCGCTTTCTGCCTCCTGGCTGCGTGCACATACCTGCGTAGACTTTGCACAGAAACTGTCTATTGATTGCAAACAAGATTTTTTAAATTGCATACAAAATAGTACTTTTCCAATTTAAGATCAGGATGCAAAAACGATTACACCCCAATCCAAGTCCTGGGAGCAAAACTAAACTTTAGTTACCAAATTACCCTTATTTCCATCTTATAGTAAATAAAATGTTACATTAAACTCAGCTTTGTCAAAACTTTGGAAATTGTACTTTTGCTCATCTAAATATTGAGTAACATGATACTTTTAATACTGACTTATGTGGGAACTGTACATATTTACATTTTCTTTCAGGATCTAAACCTGCAAAAACCAAAAGGGTACAAGCCTACTACTTCTCACCACTATTTTATTATCTCACCGTTATTATAACCTTTTCTGAAGTGCTGTTTTCCTGCAAAGATTTCAGGTTGTTGTATCTCTGTATCTCAGATTCCTTCAGATGTTTAAGTAGTTGCTGCTTTTTAACAATCAAATGAACCACACGCCAAACTAGGACACATGATATTGCGATGAAGAATAAAGCAGGTACAGACTGTTGATAGTGCGATGATAAAACATGAAAAGGCAAACCAAACCATGATGTTGCCATTCATCTCACAACACTCGCGGGACAATTAGGTCGTGGTTTTTTTTGTAAGAGTGCCTCCTCGATGGAAACACAGACGGATGAGGACCTGCCCAACAATGCAAACAGTACTTACTTCCACAACAAAAACAAACCAGGATCTCCTGCCTCTCCACAGATAAACACAGTCTCTCCTCTTCTTAGCTTATAATCCACTCCACCTCCTCTTTCACAGAGCAGCAGTGTGTGCAGACTGATTTCAAGCGGCTTCAGATGAATAGAGCCGAGAGACGTTTACAAGCACCACTTTGACACGTGATGCAGACGCCTCTTAGTGTACAAACCATTCAGGTGTTCGGCTCACAAATAGAACAGTGACGGATCACATGGCCTCCAGGCTGAAGACACTTTTTCTGAAGAGCAGCTGTGACGACAGCCATATTTCCTGATGATACATGATACAGTCAGGTCATGAAGACAGGACTGAGAGAACAATACGACCCAGTTTATATCAGAGAAATACACAAATCCAACATCAGAACAAGGCTGTGATCTAATGGGACTAAAGCAGAAGGTACTTTGTGACCATGCAACACAAAGGAGATGTTTCCACGACACACCATGACCAGACTGTTGACCTAATGTTGCTCTGATAAGGTTATGATGACCTGGACTAACATTGGCTTATCAGTTGAATTAAACCAGAATACACAAGACAAAACAAACTGTGCGTGTCTGTGTGTGTGTGTGTACAGGAAGATCAAACCAAGGAGACAAACCAACCAATGGGGATTGGTGAAATTGCTGCCGAGGCGAGAACGAGCAGAGAACAGGAGCATACCGAGCACAGGCACGAGATCGGACACGCTGAGTTAGAGCTAAAAAAAGGAAGGTAGGCAGGAGCGGGCCCTGCCCTCCTCTCAGCCAATCACTGATCCCAACACCTGCTCATGACACAACACGGGGCATGTGGGTGAGTCTGGAATAGCAGTCGGTCACATGCTCATCACTATTTGGCCTACAGGGAAATAGTTTTTCTCCTTCAAATGCCTTTATGTTGGCTGGGACGATGTTTGTTTGCATAGAGAAGAAAACAGAGTCACAACAGGACACTGAGATAAATCTTATATAAGACATGATGACGGGTATTCCAATCCAGAATGACTTTGCACTGCAAATATGTTCAATCAGATGTGGGAGGAGCAGCAAGATAGTATAAGAAGTGTGTGTTACTTTTGCATGGATCTAAATAATGGAAATATTCACACTCACCTGCCACAACATTAGGTACACCAATTTATACAACAGTTCTAGCCTCTACCTTTGTGTTGTCACCATTAAACTGGGGTGCATTGAGAGGTGTTCCTAATATTTTGCCCCCCTTATCATGTTTGTTGGTGAAGCAGGCAAAATATTAGGAACATCAGTCAAGATATGACATTCCGGCACAAAATCACCATCCAAAATGTCATTAATAGTGAATATGAAGGACTATTATTCTCAGTTTGTGAAAGCAGATTTGAGAGTGGCAATGTTGCATCAGATTTTAAACATTGTTACGTGCGATCCACACAGTTGATAGACACCTGCTGGAACACCTGTGCCAGGGAAAACCCGTTATCCAATGGGCTTTGAGAATGCAGCCCGACAGGACTTAAGAGAGACGCTGCCGAGCGTCTTAATTAACATTTTTTGAGCATGAATTTAAAAGAAAGCGACAGCAGAGAGCCGGTGCAGGGAGCGCAGAGCTCTCACTTGGCATGCAGAGGGTATTTAGCAGCACTACAAAAAGCCCACCTGCCCTCGTGGTGTAACTGGGGATGGAGCAAACAAAGTGCCATGTGAGAGGTGTCATTAAAACCACAGCTTGCGTGAGCAAACTTTCCTTTCAAGGGATTTGGGTCGTGATGACCTTGTTCCATGAAAGCTATGAAGGACGAACAACAACTACAGACATTCACTGTAAAAAATACAACAGGTATGAAGTATTTATACCTGCGCAGACAGAGGGGTCGAAAGGCAACACTAGTCTTCTTTGTGCAAGAAATATCTGATCACATCCTACCCAAGCTAGCCTTCTGAATTAACTTCCTTTTTAATAACATGATGCACATAAATCAACTGAGCTACACACACAGACACACACACACACAGAGTACAGCCAATAATAGACTCATCCATTATGCAGACTGGGAGATGTTGACGCCCTGGTTTAAAGCGTCACTAACTAGCGTCAGCTGATATGACCTTGTCGTCTTTACTTTGTTTACATTGTTTCTTCTTATGGTTTATGTCGGACAGTAAATCTCACAGTGACACCAGAACCATAACTTTTTAACATGTGCCTAAAGTTTTGTCCAGAAGTCCACCCTCACGTGCTCAAACCCGCTTCGGAGAAAAGTGTTGAATTATTATTTTTTTTAAAAAGGAATAAATTCACATTTATTTGGCAGGTGATCACACTGCATCTTTAAAATGCTCCAAGGCCCGTTTTAATTGATTTATTTGCATTTCTAAAAGTGGGATAACTCGAAGGCTAATTGGCAAAATTAAAAAATACTTCCAGTAAAAACTTCTCAGCTGAAAAATAGTGACTACCACAGGTTTATGAAACACCTAAAGGCTTGTTCTGAGTTTTATTTGGTTACAGCTGCTAAGGGTGTCACTTTGGACACTACAGATGTATGTGAAATGTTTGTTATAAGTTTAAAACAACACTTAAACCTGAAATAGATACGTTTTTAAGCTTTAATATACTTGGTTAGATATCAGCAGTCAATTTTCATGCCCATAAATCTCTATATACAGTAGGTCAGCATTCAGGATCACTAACAGGACACTGTAAGTTATTTTTAAATGGTATCATTCATATGGCATGATTTGGTATCTCATGTTTCTTCGAATAGAGCCAGCTCCAGTCCAGTAAGTTCCTCTTCTTCTTCCTTTTCAGATCATGTGTTTTTATGTAAGAGACTTCTTCAGTCCATCAGCGATAAAAAGGTACTCTGTGTCGCTCCGCCGCACGGACAGATGGACTCGAATGACCTTGGTGAGACCGAACTTGTGGTGTGAAATTTTACATCAGATTTAAATACCAACTGAAGTTCACGTTTAAAGCCGTTCGCAGCTTTAAATTAAAGCTTTCTGCCACAGTAAACTTCAAATCCGTGGTATTAGCGGATTTAAAGATTTCACATTAAAAGCACTGAGGGAAGTTTAAAGAAATGCATGATGGGGACTATTTTTGTTTTTCTACCAGATTAGTTTCAGCTGGCTTTTCATGGACGGTTTTGCTTCTGTAGTTTCCAGAGAGTTTGTCCATGTTTATACCGACAGAGGACTCTCAGTGCTGCGCTTAAAACGCATCTGAAAACATTAAAGACGGACTCCATGACAGCTTGTGTTTCTCACTGTAGTTAAATTTATCTGTCTTTCAATGGAGTGGCATTAGACTAACCTCAGCCTATGAATGACTCCAGCTGGTGCTATCTGCTCTTTTTTGGACACATGAGGGGATGTTTTCTGAGAATTGGAAAAAGTGAGAAACCTTAAGAAATTCATGTGCAGTCTTGGATTAATCCATTTGTTCAAACTTTTCCTTACACGTTGAGTTTAACACATATATCAAACTGAGGACAAAAGTGCCAAAACACACCTCAGGGCTCCGGTCAGGCTTGACATGGAGACAATTACAACTTTAACATGGTGGCAAAAGCGAATTCCTTCAATAAAACACGACAACTCAATGAGTCAAAAGTGCCCATGTGTGATCTTATTCTAGTATAGTACTAAGTTACTGCGGAAATAAAAGGATTCAAATAAAAAAAGCCACAACAGAAGTGAGCTGCCGGAGACCAATAATGATGATGCACGGGTGTTTTACGATCTAGGCACAGAAGACGACGAGCAAAGAATTAAGTGGAAAGGTTACTGATTAATTTCGCTTCGTGTGCTTTTCATTGTGTCATGTGTTTTAGGCCATGTAGCACCTGATTCAATATGAAGATGAACTGGAGGACGCCGGTGTAGTGTTAGTTTCAGTTCAACTTCATATCGAACCACATGACACAATGAAAAGCACACAAAGCAAAATTAAACAATAACCTTTCCACTTACTTCTTTGCTCGTCTTCTCGATGTCTTCTTCTGTGCCTAGATCGTAAAACACCGATGCATCATCATTATTGGTCCTCAGCAGCTCACTTCTGTTGTGCCTTTTTTTTTTTTTTTTTTTTTTGAATCCTTTTATTTTCACAGTAAGTGAGTTTGTTTTTTTTTCACATAGCCACTTTTTTGTGTCATTAACTTCTGTTATGGCTATTTTTTTATCTGAACTGTTTCTTTTTTTATTTGCAGCAGGCTTCGGTTTCTTTTTTAGTTGCATCGGTAACTTCCTTTGTGACTTTTTTTTTTTTTGCATTCCATTTTATTTGCAGCAATGGCGGTTCTTGGCCACCGTACAATTTAAGACAAGCATCAAACTTCCCTGAGGACAAAAGTGCCAAAACACACCTCAGGGCTCCGCTCAGGCTTGACATGAAGACAATTACAACTTTAACATGGTGGCAAAAGCGAATTCCTTCAATAAAACACGACAACTCAATGAGTCAAAAGTGCCCATGTGATCTTATTCTAGTTATACTAAAGCTCTAGCTCTGCTGAATTAAAATCAATCAAACCCATTTTCAAAGCACTTTTCATACATGGATGTAGCACAAAGCGCTTTCCATTCAAGCAGGTCATTAAAAAAATAATAAATAAATAAATACAAATACAAATACCAATAAAGAAAGGCTCAGAAACTATTATAATCAATATTTTCATGGATAATGAAGCCTAACAAGGTAACCTAGAGATGAGAACCAAACTGGATGAAAGAGAATTGTTTTTAGTGTAATTTACAGCTGACACGGTTTAAGACACGGGTCAAAGCCGACCCTTAACATGGTGGGTGTGTAGTAAAAGCTAACACAGGAGGAAGTTTGAGAGCTTTAAAAACTAATAAAAGAACCTTAAAATCTACTCTAATAGACATGTGTGATGTGGGCTCTCTTCCTGGTCTTCGTCAGCATGCGTACAGCTGAATTTTGTAGGAGCTGAAGCTGTGAAATGTTGTTTTTAGGAAGATTCTGCAGGTGATAAAAGCACGAAGAAGAGTCTGAGAGAAGAAACCGGGACACTCTGGAGATGTTCTTTAAATGATAAAAATGCCTTTTTGGTGACATCTGGTATGTGTGGCTCAAAACTGACGTTTGAATCAAATCACTTGCAAATAAAAATTGCTTTTAGTGGACACAGCCCCTTACTTTCACACTCAATTAATTTACCAGGTAACTTTTACCATTTGTTTCCTGTTTCGTATCTTAAATTTCAGATCTTTACAGTAAAATGCACTTCCCCAATTTCATGAGAAATCCCTCAAAATGATACTTCTCTACATTTAAGAAATGTTTGGAAATCACATGATAAAAGCTGATGGAAGTTTGGGGAAATTGAATATATCTGACAACATTAACAGAATCAAGTATCTGTCAAACAAAAATTATGACGGGTAAATAGTCAATCCGCAGTCGTACATAAAGAGAAATGATTTGATGAGCGTCGTCTCAAAGAGAAAGAAAAGCTGTTTTAATGTTCACTATTTATCGCCCAAACTCTGGCCCCATGTGATAATTGCATTTACAGACATCTGGTATGTGTGGCTCAAAACTGGGGTTGGAATCAAATGTAACATCCAGATTTTTAACTTCTTTGCATGAATTTAAAGCTTCACTTGGAGTTTTTTATGCACCTGAGTTTTGTCCTGATTTTGCTGCAAAAAAAAAAAAAAGTTTGACTGTAAAAGTGGTGAAAGTGTGCAGGATTGATTTGCTGCTTTACTGTGGGTTCATCTGAGTTCATCCTCATCTCGGGTGGAAATGAGCCCCCACCCTCTCACACACACACACACACACACACACACACACACACACACACACACACACACATGCAGACACGCAGACAACTATGGCGCTATAAAAGGTAATGTTTCCCCGCGTGTTCACAACTCGCTCTTTTCCCCAAACTCCGGACACCCACGCGGATTTCCACGTCTAATTTCAACCCAAACAAACAGAGAGTGATCGGCGTGACTCTTTGCAGTAACTTTACACACACAGATCTGTTAGAAAGACAACAGGATAGATCTGCTTTCCCTCTCTCTGTAGTAGTAGTAGCTTCCGAGCTAAATTGCATCAGCCGCATGAGTCCTTCCTCCTTCAAACATGTGCTTTCTCTTCCTCTTTTCTGCAGGGTACACATGCCTCAGAAACCCACGCTGGACCCTTTGTTCCCCACACTTTTCCAACACTTTATCTCAAGATCGAAGTCACGTTTGTGTTTTAGTAACTTTAACTGTGAGGAAAACCCGAAATCGGTGAATTTAAATCGACTTACCTGAAAACTCCACAGACAAATACTTCAACTTCTGCCTCTCAGCTCTCCTTAGATGACCCTCAAAACTCCGTCTTTGCTCTCTGACAGATGGTTTCTTTACACACACACAGACACGCACACACTAGTCTATCCCGCTCACACACACACTCATACACGGATGTCCAACCCACAGACAGTGTGTGAAAAGTCCGCGCAGCTGTGTCTCAATGCTCCACCCGAATATCACTCTAATCTGATTCTCACTGTTTCCTCTTTCTGCAGAGTAGACATGCGAACACTAGATGTCGCTCTGTGTAAAGGCATTTTCCTCCCCTTCATTGAACTGTGAGCTTCCTGGATGTAATCAGCAGCAGCTCACATTCTTCATTTCACACATTTGGTTTTCTATCAGTGGTCTGCACATGTTGATGACTTCTCCTGCAGTCCTGCTTCTTGTTCCTCTTACATGCAAACACTCACATTTTGGGATTTCGGGGAGAGTGGGGTAAGATGAGCCATTTTTCATATTTCAGATCACTACATCAAGGCAATCATAGATTTGTCTCTTATTAGTGTATCTGCATATATTTCAGGGTGTTGTTCATCCCTGCAAACCAACAGAATGAGTGCAAACAGAACTGTCTTGAAATTATAGCATGAAAAAAGTGGTCTCCTATGGTCAACTTACCCTGTATATGGGGTAAGCTGAGCCGTATCCCTACTACCCCCATACCCTCCACCATAACAGTCATCTAGTACAATAATTCTTTTTATTATTATTGCATGTAACTGCTAAAACGCTGTTTTTTAAAAAGTCATTGTAACATGAGAATGTCTTTAAGTGATTCAGAATATTCACAGCTGTATTTATGAAAAGAAAAAGTCAAACATTTCAACAATCTGAACTGAAACTCTGATCCTCTCATCAGACTCCTTTACTTTCTCAGTTAGCCCAGAACTACTATAATGACTTTATTAGTCCTCTAAGGTAAAATGGTGGACTTTTATGTTAGTTTATGACCTCATGTTGTAGCTCATAGATACCACACCGTCTGCTTAAGGCCCTGCGACCAATAGGGGCCCCCCCAAGAGAAATAATAAATAAAAAAATTAAATATTTTTTATTTAAAATATAAATTACTCTACGTCAAAGTATCTAACATTTATAAAAGGTAGGATTTTTTTAAGATTATTGATTAACTTACCTCAGATTACAGTGACTGTTAGAAAGTTAGTTTAGTTTGGTGCATTGGTTCATAATAAGTGATTTAACTGACACATATAAACTTGTTGAGGCTTGGCGTTTTATTCAGTAATCCCTGCACAGATCTCTAAACCACAAAGCTATCCCTTTGCTCCTTGTCTAAATGTCTAACCTCTTCACCCGTGTGCTTCTGACCTTCACAGACTCCATGAATTGATGCCCATCTCCTCAATATTTGGTCACATGATCAATTTCTTCTACATTTCCAAACAAAAGGGGGTGGCTCAACTTACCCCACTCTCCCCGATGTGATGTTGCAAAAGTCTCAGTGGGGTCGACAAAAGCTGTTCTGCTCTGTTACGAGCTCCCCGCTGTGGCTGTGCAGCAGCACATGTCGTGATCCTCTTATTTCTGCGTGAAGCTTCACATACAGGCCTCGAAATCTACACCAGGATTTGGGATTATCAATGCAAAGCGATCCTTACAGATTGCTCAGCATACATAAACAGTCCTGACTAGTCTTGGAGAGATTCCTGCACCAATTTTAGGGTCCTGTTGGATCATCTGTGTGCTGCTCCATGATTTTCTATACATGTACTAAAGCTGACTGAGATGTAATTGGTGAGAGAAGTGCTGTATATTCCGCCTTATCTGACATTTCTAGATTTATGGTTGACTGCCGCTCACCCTGTGGGCCAATTGTGGATGGCCTTGATAAATGAGAGTAGGCGCTCTAAGGTGATTTGGAAGTAATGCAGTTCCTCTGGGACTCGCTGGAAGAAGGACCTTATGAGGAATACTCACACGATTCTCCGCATTTTGTTGCTTATAGATGCACAATCTCGGAGTTACCTCGGAGATGGAGCTCTCAGTTGATGCAAGCAGTTTAATGAGGACAGAATAGACAGCAGACACCAGGAGAATGCATTTAATTACATCGCACGAGTCTTTGTGGTCCCAGAGATCGGCACTGAAACAGTCACCGTTAGTGGTTTGCATAATGCTGAAGTGGTGTAAAGAATATTAGCACTCTCTCCTCTCCTCTCCTCTCTCTCTCTAAGAGACGCAGGAGTGCAGCGATGATCTTCACAATCACATCAGTCACAATAAAAGTAAAGAATCAAATCAGTCTGACCCAGGAGGCCACAGACCTCTCCGTCTCAGGCTGCTGTAAAAGTCAATCAGTTTAGGGCTGGCTCACTTGTTTACTGCCTAATAAAGTCAGATGAGAAGATTGATATCATTTTAGTCTTCAGTTCAAATCAACTCGGTCACATGTGTAATTCTGCCTCAAGCACAAACAGACAAGGCCAAAGCCCCCCGCCAAGAAACCCCAAGTTTCCTGTCATGTGACCTTTGAGATAAAACCCTCTTTTTTTCCAGGAAACAGTGAAAAGCTGATCTTGAAATTAAATATCAAAATGTAATTCGTGACAAATTTGAACCCTGTCTCAACAGAAATGAGCATGTCCATGTTAAATATGTCCTAACCACATCTCAGGCTACGATCAGATTATTAAATTCATGTGGCAACCAAGAAGAATTTCATAACTCGCCTTAGTCTTGTTGCGATTCAACAATATTGACAATAGCTGTCTTCAGAAAACTTCAATATCAATGCTGGGCTAAAAATAAGCATAAGAATTCATAGTAGGGGGCAGGAGATGAGAGAAATAAGTAACCACAGAAGAAGACGAGTCTGAAAGTTTTCTCTCCGGTTTCTGAGTTATTTAAATTTGTAAATAAGTTTAGTTTTTCGTGGAAGATGCAATAAAAAAAGAGGCTGAAGAGGATGGAAAGTTTTTGTTTAATTGGAAGTTTCTGTTCCAATCTGGTGACGGAGATAAAACAAAACTTTCCGCTTCATTAGAGATGGATGAAGACGTAAATAAGTCAGCTGCGTTTAAAAGTCAAGTGTCCGTCAGTCACGCCAAATGTTCCTCTCGTAAACTTCGCCGTGTTCAAAACGAGGCTATCAAGATGTTTTTCTTCGTCGTCATGGATTCTTTTGGCCACTAAAATCACGAGATGAAAATCTGATGCCGTGACATCCCTACGAGAAAACATAACCCAAATCTGAGCAGTGATGAAAAACCGCTCACAGCTCTCCCCTCGGCTGGATGTTATTCTGAATTTATCCTTGCGGTTTGAAAAGTCTTTGAGGATACATTTAGTACCCTTCAGTACACAGAGCAGCTATGTTCAGCATTTTTTTTCCCTTCTTTGCCGGGTATTTTTCAGTAAAATTGGAGGTTTAGCTATGTGACCCAAATGTAGCACCGACTCTAAGCATGAGGCTTCTCAAACTATCAGCATCAAATGTTTTCTGGGGCTGCGAGTTGTGATGTTTGGGGTTACAGCTGGTGCATCCTATAAGGAGCAGATTCATTTTTCATTGAGTTCATAAACCTTTAAAGTTGCCTTTTTTTCTCCCTTGCTGAATGTCCTAAAAAGCAGCCTCAGAAATGAAGCCTTTGACCGTATGAAAAGGACTCTAAAGTCCTGAAGAACAGAGTCGACCCATCCTGGAAAAACACAACAGGCTCTTCTGAGAAGAATGAGGTTGCAGACGTGTGCCCCGGGCGTTCACACCTGCAGGAGTTGATTCTTCTGAAAACCACGGGCTACCTCGCCTCAAATACAACAACCAAGTGTGCATTTTTCAGGATTTTAAGAACCAGAGTCTGATGTCTGAGCTGATAGTTCATCATTTAGACAGCAGATTTAAGAAAACAGAACAGGGAAATCAAACAAATTAGAATGAATAAAACATAAAAACACACAAGGACACTGAAAAACTTTAAAATATAACTAAAAAAACCCAAACAACTGTCATGCTGGGTTAGGAAATGGGGGCGGGGTTAAGAGATGATTAAAAAAGAGATGGTGAAGACGTTAAAAACAAACAACATAACAGCTCATATATGGAGGTTATCACTTGGCCTCTACATGCTTCTCGCTCCATAAATTGTCCTAATCTGTCTAATTAAGTCGCAAAAAACCTGAAAAGTTAATAAAAAATACATTTTAAATATGAATAAAGAGAAAAAGAAACTTCCCTTGATAACAGCCGCTACATATACAACCCCAAAATCCTGCACTACGATTGGCTATTTCCCCGTCAATCAAATACCGGAGAAGCATAAACGGGACTTTTAGTCACATCTTATTTTGGAGGACTGGTACTTTGTTGAACATCTACTTTGAGGTAGATGCTACTTATTATTCCTGTGCACACACACATTACCCGGCCACCCCTGCCAATGTCAGGGCCCCCCAGTCACTAAAGCACTGACACACCCCTGATAGCGCAGTGCAATCAAACCTTACAGACAGAGATTCGGCTGCATATTCTCTTTGCGTCGCTGCAGTTTAAACAGATATTATTATTATTTCTTCAATTTCATTTTATGTTACTTTGTTTTTAGATTTTAACTTAAACCTCCAGTGTTTCCTTGATGTTTCCGCTGTGTGCTCATTCCTGTTTCCATGAAATCAAGCCCTTTTTAAGTTTATGCATTTTAATACATGTTTCTGTTGTGTTTAGATCGTGGGGTGGGAATGAGGGGTTGGGCTGGGGTAGATTTAGGTATTCTTTGTTTCTTTTATTCCTTTTTCTGTGTAAAGCACTTTGTGCTACATGGTTGTGTATGAAAAGTGCTTTAGAAATAAAGACTGACTGATTGATTGATGAGATATCTTCTTCTTCTTTTGTGTGGAGCTCTAATTTTATCACATACTATGTTTACATCTCTGTTTATTTACATCTATTTGCAGCTGCATAATGTGTTTAAACTCCACTTTGAATCTAAACATTAAATGTTTAGCTCTGTTGATGTATTTACGGCTTTATCTGATGATTGCTTTTCTGTTCCCCTTGCACATGACTTTCCTTACTCCCCAAATGTATGCATTAACCTTATGTTTTTCATTCCTACATTGTTTGTCTATAAGTGAGCATTAGTGTGAAAGCTGGAGCAAAAGTGCACGGTATCATCTCAGGCCGTTTGTATCCGAGCTGCAGCGGTGTGCTCTGTGAAATCCCTCACTGACTCATGCAGTCTCCTGGGTCAGACTCTGAAAACATCCTCTTTGTGCATGTCATAGCCCCAATTCTGACTTCCACAATATTGCATTCTGCTGGATCTTCCCTGCAGGCGTTTTTACCCTTGTGAGCCCATAAGAAATACACAAAGACAAACCGTTACAACAGAGAGTACACAGAGCTTTCAGGGTTTCTATTAAAATCTGCTCATGTACTACATAACGTATACTGTACGTGCTGCATATTTTATGACACTCAGATCTGCAGGGGCTGCACTCAGCAACACAAACATCTGTAAAAAAAAACTCAGCGCAGGTTCACATGGAGAAAAAAAAGCCCCACACAAACATCTGACTGGGTGTGAAGCCGGGGCTTTAGTTCCAGCTTCAGAGAGGTTGGAGTTGAGTTCAGGTGAGTTCTGAGGCCACAGTCTGTTTGCGCTGCGAGTTGTTTCTGTTATTTTACTGTGTGAACAAATTTGCATGGTAATTGGATTGGTCTGCATTATATTGTACGATGCATCCCCTGTGGCAGCGCATGAATATTATAAAACAACTGAGGGCCATTGATAGAAAAGGCCAGAGGGGTTTTATTTTAGGAGGGGGAGGAGGGGAATTATTCCTTCAGGCATTTGCTTTCATTTCATTCCTGACAGTGAGACGCTGGAGGAGTTTTCCGGCTTTAAAATGTGTGACTTAATTTACTGTGTAACCCAGAAACTACAGAGTTAAAGGAAAAAAAAGTAGCAGAGGTATAAAAAAAGAAAAGTAGACAAGAGCCTCTGAATGACCCCAGAAATTACCTCAGAATTGAGTCAGCACCTTTGCGAATCAGCGCAGACAAAAGCTCCATTGTGATCTCTCTAACTGCCTTTCATGGTGCGGCTGCTATTAAAAGCTTCTTGTATCTGCAGCACACAAAAGACGCATAATCTGGTGTTAGTAGCTCAAAGTGCGGATGCCGAGGAAATGAAACTGTAAGTATTACAGTCCGATGAGTTGTCTTTCACCCTCCTTACATCATGTTGTGTGGATCACTGAGGCGGCGTCTCGGTACAGTCCTGTAACAACATTTCTCTGCTTACATTGTCACCGAATGGAAACTCAAAAGTTGATGTTCTGAAGAGCAGAGAGCAGAGCTGATTCCTCTCTGTGTCAGACTGAAGATTTAAGGTTTTTTCGTTTGAGTCTGGTGTGCAGTTTTACACACAAGAGTAAGAACAGAAGACGGTTTCAAAGAGGCTTTCAGCTGCACACTAACTTTCAGATGTACTCTATTTGCACTCATATTTTCCAAATGTTTCCAAATGCTTATATACTAGTAAAACTGTGTCTCTGTCATGCAGTTGTCTAGGAATAGCCAGCAATACCTGCAAAATAAGACATGAGGGAATACTCATGTCTTTTAGCATCATGTAGTTTTAATAGTACGAGTTTGATGTTGTTGTCCTGGCTCATTTCGGGCTCTGCAGTTTTTTTTTCCCAGACATAAAGCTGCTTCTGATCTGTACGACGGTGCAGTGTTTGAGCAAAGCTGAGTAAAAAACGTGAGAAACAACTGAGCAAATGGAAAACTACCCAGTGCAACTGAAGCGCTGTTTCTCATTACAGATTAAAAATGAGCAAATTGTAAAATTTTATTTGAATTTGATTATTTTGGACAGTCAGGATAAAAAAGGACTTTTCTTTCTTAGGTGAATGCAACCAAACAAAGTCTTATTAAAGCTGCTATAAGGAACTTTTGGTTTGTGTGGACTTTGGCGCCCCCTCTGGACAAAGTGACACCTCTTTTCTCTTAATTTGTGGGTGTGCAGGTTTTTCTTATTAATTCTGAAAAACAGATTAAAAATTTGCAAACAAATTGTAAAATTTTACCATAATTTGAAGAGGACTATCTTGTTCACTCAGGAAAAAAAGGACTTTTCTTTCTTAGGTGAATGCAACCAAACAAAGTCATATTAAAGCTGCTATAAGGAACTTTTGGTTTGTGTGGACTTTGGCGCCCCCTGTGGAGAAAGTAAGACTTCTTATTTTTTATTCTGTTTGAGTGTTTCTCATTAATTCTGAAAAACAGATTAAAAATTACGAAAAATTGTAAAATTTTCTCACAATTTGAAGGTGATTATCTTGTTCAGTCAGGAAAATATAGGACTTTTCTTTCTTTGGTAAATGAATGCAACCAAATAAGGTCACGTTAAAGCTACTATAAGGATATTAGTGTGGACTTTGGCGCCCCCTGTGGACAAAGTGAGACTGCTCATCTCTTATTC